AATCTCCTACTACACAGCTACCCTTTCTGCATGCTATTGCAAGCTGCAGTCTCACAGCAGTTCCTTGCTATAACTCTTGCCTCGAAGAAGTGCAACAATAGAGACCAATTACCCTGTGTCTCCGCTCTTATTGCAATATGCCTGGGAAAAAGAAAAAGTGCAGCCCCTTCCCCCTCCCCCCCACAACACCTTTTCAATTTCAAATCCTAACCCTGTCAGTAGTGCCATTTGTGGATTTGAACTCCTCGGCTTTGTGTGAGGCATTATCTGGAGATTCACCTGGTACTGATCCAATGAACCAACACAACCTTACAAAGCTGAAGGGAAGAGTGTAGAGTTCTCTTTATAATAAATCATATGCCATGAAAAAGGATTTCTTTAACTCCTTTCCTCCATTATTCTCCATATCTCACCTTGTGGAAATGGATCTGTCAGTGAGAGACTTGGACTCACGCACTTGGAAGAAGGAATAGGGGAGAAAGAACTGAAGTGAGAGGAGGAAGGCAGAGGTCCTGGAGATTTCTATAACTTGGAGGTTCCTGGAAGAAAAGCCACAACTGGAAAGAAAAGGAAGTAGCCTTAAAAATAAAGCCAGTATAGGCCTTGGTGCTAAACCTTCCTCAGTTCTAGCAAGGGACAAGGATGCTTTCATTAAAGCAGCTGCGTAAGGAATACTTATTTAGTGATGAGTTAAACCTCCTGAAGTGAGCAAGTTCTGCATGGATAATCACCCAGCAAGCTCAGTGTTGGTCTGAACGTCTTTGGTTTTACTGAGTTGAGCTGGTAACCTCTTGAGATCTGGCTGTCTCCCAAGTAGGGAGGGATGAATACTGCAAAATGTTTCAGTTTACATTTCCATTTTGAAACTCATTTGCGTTGACTGAATTTGCACTGTGTTTATATAAACTTGTAAACGCAGTAATAAATTTATTTACTGCTAGAAAACAAATTTCAGATAAAGGCTGGAGAATGTTTGTGGAACACAGATTCTAATTCACAAGTATAATCACAGAACCTAATTTAGATGTACATTCAGTGGTTGAACAGAAACGTATTTGTTGATCTATATATCTAGCAGACCCTAACCAGCATTATCCAAAATTCAGACAGTTGCTAATGGCTTAAATATTTTGAATGACGTACCAGCCACTTTCTGTGAAAGCTATGGTGATGTAACACAGAACCCAAAATTTCACAGTGTGAATGATAACTGCAATCAGGTAATAGCTGTGTTATGCTACTTTTCTTGCTGTACAAAGCTCACCCACTCCTGATTACACCTTGCTGTCATCTGTGAGAGACTGTACTAGCGTATCATTGTTATCTGAATCAGTGTCAGTATTACCTGTCACATTTATAAGAACACTCATGGGCATGCTCCATTAAACCTCATGGAGCAAGGCTGGTTTTCTCCAGTACTTTCATTTTGGAGGTGTTCACCTGCTCTACCCCTTCCTACCTTCGAAGGTGCTTCTTTGTTCCCTTACAGCTCTCGGAGTCTGCCATGTCTTCCTGTGTTGCTCTCCTCCACATGCCCATTCAAAGGTCATCCTAAAACAGTCCTTTAATATAACTTAGGGGGTTTTCTTCCCTTGTAAATATTGTATTGAACACTAGTTTATTTACGGCATCCTATAAACAAACCCAATCTGAACAGAAGAGATTTGGATGCCCTTTCTCAAACTGGGAAACAATCATAGTTGTGCAAGGAACTGCACTGAAGCCAAGGGGAACGTCTGCAGTCTGAGAAAGAGAGAGATAACAGGTCTTAAATATTTGAAGGATGCTATATTATAAGGGAACGTAGTTATTTCCTGCCATAGTGCTGCTTTTTCCAGAGGACACACATATTTCTACTTTGTCTACCCAGTCTTCTAAGCAGGAGATAAACGGTTAAACAATGGGAAGTAACAAGCAATGTGTACTAGGAATGAACTGGCTTAAGTTTGGTAATGGGAATTAAAAATCACTGCAAGATGCAATATTTAAGTTATCCTGTTCAAGTTCTTGCATTGGCGGTATTAGCCACAAGAGAGATCACATCATCTGGGAGTAAGATAATATAATGAATACAGGTTCTGTAATAGGCATGTGGGAGACTCTTGGCGTATGTTTTGGTCATGTCCTGATATATGTGAGCTTTGGGAGACAGTTCTACATGTAATAGAGTCAATAATCAAATCTGAAGTACCAAGGAACACAACTTGATGTTTCCTTAGAGAGACCACAAGTTTGCAACAGATGAATAAAGAGAGAGTGTGGTAGATACAAATTTGTTTTTAGGCAAAAGGAAAAGAAAAAAGACTTAATAAAAAAAAGAGAGAGAAAGAGAGAACTTTACAGTTTCCAGACTGAAAAGAAACAGTAATGCCTCCATCAGAAATTGAATTAATTGTTACATTGATAGAGATGTGATATACTACATCAAAGACTAGCTAAATGATATTTGGAAATTAATTTAGGATCCTATTAAATAGAGCTCAGAGGAGCTTCCCAAATGAATAACTTGTTTGTCAAACATTGCTTCTTTCTCTGTTTATGAAATCTTCTCAAGTAGAGACAACTATTTTCAACTGTTCTTGTTGCTTGAAGTAAACTATGAGATTCATCACTAAGCAGAGATTTGTAGCAAATTCAAATATTGCACATTGCAACGCCTCAGTATCATACAGAAATTAGATATCACGTACTTCTGTTCCCTATGTGGATGACTTATTTTACAAAGTTATCAAAAAAGCCCCAAGCCCCGAACATAAAATTGACTATCCGTATTTGAAATTAAAGTTTGCTTTTGGTGCTCTATAGCTTGGCCACTGCAGTGTGCTTTGGAAATGAATCTAATGGAATCTAAATATGCTTGTTTTCTATAGTGTTGTTATTTTTAAATATGCTTCAAAACAAATGTAAATGGGACACTTTAACCATATAAGGGAATATGATTTTATGTTCTGATCTCTTAAAAATGATGTCCTGTAGAGTGAGCATGCTGTTTTCTTGGGAGCTGTGCCAAAATAGTAAAACTTATGATGATCATCACAGTTCCTGTGTTTGTTAAATGAAAAGCTCATTGCTATGATTCTACTCTTATACCAGTTTTACCCCAGTGTAATTCCACCTTTGTCTCTGGAAATACTTTTATATCAACTTCTATGAGTACTAATCGTTTCTTCTTCTTTCGAAAACTGAGAAGAGATGAGTGTTTGCATTAGGAAAAAAAAATAAGAGAGGGAAATCTTATATAATACGTTTTGCTTTATAGCGGGATGGGGACAACTCTGAGTTGTCTGTAGAGCTGTAGCTGCTGGGATGTCCAGAGAAGAAATCCAACCGTTCTCTAGGCAAGCAGGCTGGTAACCACCCCAACAAGCAGGTAGCGTTCTCGGCCACAGTGAGCCATCAGGCTTGCCTGTATGCCAAGCCAGTGGCAAAGGAGCCAGAGAGCTGGTAGCTAGGTGCTGGAGCTCCCAGACAGCCCGGTGGTTGGGTTGCCTAAAGCCAAGGAGTCAGGCAGTTCCTGCCTGCTGGGCTTCCAGTCAGAACTTTGACACGATACTATCCCATTGAATTTGTATTTTTCAGCTGATCCTAGGAAAATATTCATTCATTGTTTTTGGAAGCGAGCATAATTCTTTGGTTTCATCCTCTCACTTCTCATATTATGTTGCCTGTCTGATGTAGTTTTATTTGGATTTGGTAGATGCAGTCGTTTGTTTCAGCTGGTAGAGAAGTGGGGCTTTTTCCTTTCTTTTTGCCAATTAAATTTTTTTCTCAGTCATCAGATTCTTACAATTGCTTTTGAAGGACAGTGCTACTGGAGTAAATCTATTGTTTGCATAGGTTTGTTTAAAAGCTTAAGGCAGAAAGGACATTCTCATAATAGACCAGGGATCAATGAAAGCTCTTTTCTCAGGAAGCTTTAAGGCTTAGCAATGAGGTGTTTTTTTGTTGGTTTTTTTTTTAATGGTTTGTTTTATATATGAAGTTGTATCTCTGCCTGTGGAGAAATGGTGGGCTCTGTGTAGTCTTTTGTAGAATTGCTGAGCAAGATCTGCCTGAGATCCAGGTATGTGCTGGTCCCAAGCGCGGCTTGAGACAGCAGAGGGAAATTCTCTCTTTGTTCATATCGGTGGCCAGAGATACTCCAGGTGATCTCTGCAGTAGGCAACAGACATGATTGCCCCTCCTTTCTGTGCCACCTCCAGCCTTTTAATTTCCTGTATGTTCACCCTACGAACAGCCCCTTTGATTTCAATGGGACTTCACTCAGAATGGAATATTGCTCAGCACAACTAAGAGCAGCACAATCAAACTCAGACAATATACTAGGAGAGACACGAGTCAGGGCCAGAAGGAGAAGCCAAGGTGGCATATATGCTTAGACACCCACAGGATTTGATGGCCAATAAGCATTTTAACCTAGTGAGTGGCTTGATGTGCTAGCTTCTGCCCAGGCAATTGCAGGAGAGGAAAGGACTGAGGCCCTGGGTTAGTGGAACAATTACATTCATACTTTAAGTCCCCTAAGAGCATTGAAATCATTGGTCATTAAGTATGTGCTCAACAGCTTTGCTGAGTCAAGGCCTGACTGAAGGCAAAGTGAAGTCCTGGTGATGCAGTTTATGAATCATCCTCATAGCTATAGACCCACAGCTATAGCATTGAGGAATAGGAACTGGGGGGCCTGATGGGCTCTTCTAGTGACAGTGCAGCAAGCTAGCAAAAGGTGACGGAGAGAGGAAGCGTTGGTGTTGAGGAAGGGAAGGAGGCTGAACGACTAAAGATGTTTCTGTAGACGTTCTGCTGCTCGCGTTATTTCTAATTGTGGCCATGACTGCAGGCTTTCCTTGTCCTCGAGGGCGAATTCACATTTGTTTTTCTGTGAGAATAACTTGCTCAAACTCGACAGCTGTGGGATATATCCCTGGTTATATAGCTGAAGTTGGGAGAGGCCACAGCCTGTATTGATTCCTAAAGTCCTTTGTGTATTTTCTTGCATGTAGGTGCTCCCTGATGGGGTTTGATTTAAACCGGCACTGGGCGAATCCATCTCCTTGGGCTCATCCCACACTGCATGGAGTGAAACAGCTCATCATTCAGATGTACAACAATCCGGTGAGTGGAGAAAGTTGACGCTAGAACAGCAACTTGCCTGAGGTACTGACTCTCTCCCTGCGGGGTACCACAAGCTGCCAGCAACTCTGGTGTGGCCTAATCCAGTGGCAAACCAAACTAAGAGAGAAGTAAGCAAACAACACCCCCGCTGCATGAGATCAGGGAACATATGAAGAGTCTTTTGTCACCGGAAGCATCAGAGTGTAGAGAGAGTAAGTGAAATGAAGTTCAGCTCGGATGAAATATGGAATAATGCTGAAAGCAGGGCCTAAATTCAATTGAGCTGCTCTCGTAATGTCCTGAGCTGGATTCGAAACAGCAGGCCCCCCAAATTGAATTACTGAATGGCACTGATGTTTAATCTAGAGCTCCGGCAGGGGTTGCTATGTAGCATGCAGAGCAGGAGGAGGATAAAATTTGCAAATATTATATAAACACATACGCACACGCTCAGTCTCACTCAGAGAAGCAGAGGTGTTCTTGAAGGTGAAATCTTAACTAATCGGAGGAGATAGATTGCAGGGGAATATGGAGAAGAGGAGTGGGAGGGAGGCAGACAGTTATTAAATGTTTGACATCAAAGTACAGAAGGATTATTGAACGTGGCACCCAAGAAAAGCTGCTGAACAAAGATGGAGATGGGCAGAAAAAAATCACTCCGGAAAAAATAAGAGGAGAATTCATAGGTGATTATTTTTTCTATATGGAATTCCTGATATTTGTCCTCTCTTTGTACTTCCCATTATGGGAATGGCATTTGGATCTTTAATGCCCTAAAGTTTTCTTTTTGTTTTCTTTCTTATAACGTAAAAAAGGACCTGGTTTGCTTGCTAATAAAGAGAGTGGATTATTACCCCTGGCTACACCATGTCTTTACTTCATCTCCTGATTCTGCCAGTACACCCCAGGTGGATCTTTTATCTCCGAAATAATAGTATTACCTGTACAGAAGTGAGTTTAGGTGCAAGGAAGATAAGTGAATACATAAGACCTTGAATTTGGGATGGAATCCCATTGCATTGAAAATATTTTCTTAGACTGCTAATTGGTGCAGAATTTATACTTCTGTTCTGTTTATGCAGCTCCCACAGTTGTGCCTGTGACTAAGGCTCCTAAGCCCTGCTGTATGTGACTCATGGTGGAGAATAAAGAAAGGAGCTTCTCAGCCAGCTTGGTCTTTCCTCTTTCCTGCCCCAATGAACAAGATATTTTTTCCTTCTGGATGATGGAGGAAGCTTTCAGGCTGCTTTGAGGAGAAAGTTCTTTCCCCAGATAAAGAGGTCCTTAAATATTACAAGAAGGTTGGGTTTAGGAAAAGGCCCCTAACAAATCCTGGCACTAACTAAAAGTTAGTGCCGTAAAATAAAGCTACTGGGGAAAGATTTGTTTTCAGTTTGGTCCCTTTCCTGGGAAGCTTTGAAAACTCTGGGAGTTTTCAGCTGCCATGCGTGTGAAGGATGGATTTATTTGCTGTGGTGGCTGAAATGAAAAATCAAAAGAAATATTTGGTTGGAGTTGGTCTGAAATAGAAATCTTTATTTTTTCCTCCATTTCTGTCTCCCACCCCTCCTCAGTGATCAACCTGAGATGAACTAGTTCCAGTTCAATTTGTTGAGAGGGAAAGAAAAAGGAGCCTTTCAAACATATATGCTACATTTTATTTTCAGGGTTTTTTTTTTTTAAATACAAGTTAGGATTTTTTTTTTTTGATTAAACCTCTAGCTAAGTTCTGACAGCTCTTCAGAATTTCGTTTTTCAGTGAATTAACTATTCACCAAAAAAACCTCATGTCTGGCTTTATTGTGCCCTAGTCAGTATGAGCCTTTCTGACAGTTTGAGAAACCTTAAGCAATACGAGCTGGTCTAAGATTACTGTTTTTCTTCAGGCAATAGTGGATTCTTAGTCCCTCTGATTCTGATAATGTTTGTATGAACAGATCATATCCAAAGTCCTGGGACAAGAGAGGAAGATTTGCCAGCTGCCTCGGAGAAAGGGGGGCATGGGGCTGTACAGGTGCCAGCCTGCCTTAGCAGTGATGGGTTTTATTAAGTGTTCTGGATAAAATCCCCACTAGATAGAGTGCCAGAGTAACAACCTGCTCTGAACCACTATAGGCTGCTAAAGAGTTTTGACTACTGCCCAAGTGGAGAATGTAACTTTTGGATAAGGAGCACATGGCTGCATGCATAGGTGAATGTGTGTGGGAAGCTGTGACTGATCAGGGACTATGCATCTGAACATGCCTGTCCTGCTACCATCTCCTCACCTGATGGCTTCCTGCGCTGGGGAATAGGAAATGAAATCAAATGCAAAGTGAAGATTGCTGCAAAATATTGTAATAAAAAATAACCTCCATCCTTCCCCCTCTAGACAAGATCTGACATGAGGAGCTGCCCACAAGAGATTGGATTGTTTAAAGCAGAGGAAGTTCAGCTTCATGTTGCTATTCTGGAATGGCTTGATGCAGACTCTTTAGATGTATTCATTCCCTTAAATCATTTAAGGAAAATTAGCTGCCATAAGAGCATAAAACCGCATTTTAAATATTGCTATATAGGAAGATTTTTCTTCTGCTGCTGCAGTATGGAAGATAAGCTGTTTCCTTTGAAAAAAGTTTATTCTTTTGTAGGGGGGAGGGTGGCAGACAAATAGGTGAAGTGAGATGAGACGGACACACAATGCCATAGCTGCAGTGATTCCAACACTAAGTAGTCCAAAGTGTTTACTGTAGTTACTGTATAAAAATAGACCAAGGCATCTGTGGTTCTGTTACTCCTCTAGGTTTTACAAAGTGCGCTTATTTTATTTTTAAAGTGTTTCAGATTCCAAAGTAAGCATATCAACTTTAAGGGGGAAAGAAATGAGAGAAAGATAGGAAACTCCATGCTACCGATTTTGAAACAATTGCTCATGATGGTAAGTCACTATCATTGTTTTGGCCTACGGGAAGAGAGCTGATATTCTCAGTTCTGTTTCTAGTGGTGTCAGTTGCCGATAAGACCAAAGTGACAGATTTCCTTTTCTAGATCTTGTGCTGTTGGCTGAAGACATTTCTATTGTCGGGTACCTTTCCCTGCCCATAGACATCACCGTCTCCCCGTCACTCTACCAGAGTGATTCATGTAGATGCTTCCTTTACCCATGCTGGACCAGGTTAATTGAATTAGCTCACTACATGAATGTATTTTTTTAAGCCAGCTGAGGTGATTTTTTTTTTGAAGCGCATCAAGGGACGTTCATACGAACGACTCCAGCAGCCAAACTGCAGGGCCAGGTTGGGGGTAATAATATGTTCCACGTGGAGAGCTGTTTGCTGGATGAACGTAAGGATTCCTTTGTAAGGAATCTAAAAAAACATGTGAACACAGCTGACATTAAAAGTATGAATAGTTTGGTTGACTTCAGCAGTGTTCCTTATGTGCTTACAGTTAGGTGGGTGCTTAAAGGTTTTGGATTGGGGATCAAGTGCTCAGCAGTGGCAAGCTCAAGACATGGATGATCTATGGAGATCAAACAGTCCTAATGCCTGGGATAACAAACTCTGAAGCCTCAGAGGCTCAGAGCACAGTGGCGCTGCTTTATTGGCTGGATGGGTTTTATGTGGCCATCCAGCACTTTTCCTGAGGAGCAAATGAACTCTTCAAAATGGATTTAATGAGTGAACTTAGGTAGCCTGTTCAGTGTCAGTTCAGTCCCCTTGAGCATGGGCTTTGTGATATGGTCTTTAATCACAGGGGCTCACGTTATTCTCTCTGTCGGACCCCTGCCTCACTGAGTTCTCCAAATGGAAAACTTTCGCATAATGAACAGCTAGCTATTCAGGGTTTTGTTTTAGCTTCAGCGTTCGTTGTGCGGCCTTGTATTTACTGTGCGCTATTCAGACCCTATGCTGAGCACAGAATTATTAATCTCCTTGTGGGCTTTTCATTTCTGCTCATTGCTATAGCCTGGGAGCATTTCAGAAGCGTTAATTAATTATTTTTCTTAGCACCCCTGTGAGAAGCAAACACATTATTTGTGTACGGATGGGGAGCAGAGCCAGAGATACTTACGGTCAGAAGTACCTACTCATTTGAGGTAGATAATTTAAAATGCCTGGAACCACATTTGTTCTGTGTCATTCACCAAGTCTTAATACGTTTGGTATCTGGTTCCTACCACCTTCCTTCTCTTGGGAAGTTGCCTTTCTGCTCCTGTCATTTGGCCTTCTCAAGCACATAGAAGACAAGGAATAAACAGCTACTAGCTGCCTGAGAAGAGTCTGTTACAAGTGATTTGCCCCCATCATATGAAAATGCTGAGACAGAGATGAAATACAGTGCTCCAGGGCAGTCTTATTGGAACACTGTATTTTGTCTTACTGTGTCCCCCTTTCTCCTATTCTACCTGTTTTCCATCTTCTACAGTCATTGAAGCTGAAGTCCTGTGTGCAAATGATTCCTGTATTAGGGGCTATTCACCTTGCGCTCTGCGTGACCTGGAGACCTATCCAAAAAAAAAAAAAAAAAAAAAAGCCCAGTCACCTGGGGTGCTCCTTAATTGTCATTTCCTTTGTCATGCATACATGTATTATAGTTGCAACTTCCCTTTTCCCCTGTCATTCCTGACTTTGGAGTGCTTGATATTGCAGGCTTTGCATACTTCTAATACCATTTTGGGAGAAAGTTTTCTTTGATTCAGAACAAAACATACAACTGTAATAAAGCCCCAACATGCTGAAATCTGAGTCATCAGTTGGACTGCAACCTTTAGATTCCCCACACAGGCATCTGCCATGTGAATTAACTGACAGAGGTTGGCGACCTACTATT